CTGACATTGTACTTTGGCACTCAGTGCAAATGACAAGCAACTTGCTATGTTTGGTATTTTCTCAATGTGTTTATGAAAGTCAGCCATTTTGAATTAAAATAAACTTAAATTATTTTTATTCACATTGATTATTATATCTATATTATAAATAATAAATGTGGTCACATTATAGTTATTTTTAAAATAAAAAAGTAAATAAATATTTGTAAAATTTAAAAAAAAACGTAATTAATACTGTGGGGTGTTTGGACACCCCACTGAAAACTGTTGTTTTTCTCTTACTGGAATTTCTGCAGCATCGTAGTAATTTCTGAGCATGCTCTATACATAAAATCATGAAGCTACTGAAGAGGACACAAATATTTCTTGCGAAATCTATGAATAGTGCAACTTTTAAAATGTTGGGGGTGGCGAAACACCCCACTGCACTAGCCCAGGGATAAGAATATCATTGCAAAGAAAATGAATGAGGACATAAGCATTTGTACAAATAAACCTTGATCAACTAAAGATGAGCAATGAACAACTTCTTGGGAACAACATAAACATAAAACTAAAAGAGAAACTATCACAAAAAAAAAAAATTATTTTAGGTGTCAGATATATTTACAGCTGACTAAAGACATACCTCACCAGTCAACTGTATGTTATATATTTACATAATTAGCAACTTGTTTATCTTTACAATAACATCAAGTTTACAAACTTCCTGACATACTTTCACAGAATCTCTGTGTGCTTGCTTATATTTGCTACTTTTAAATAATTAAACTCAACATTTCTCTTTTATTTAACCTACACTTATCTAAACGTATCCATTTTAAGTACAGTTATATTTAATTATACATCAAACTCTCCCCTCTGACAAACTATCAGATGCAAAAATTTGTCAGTAAATAATAAATAAATGAACATAAAACATTTGACAAGACATTATAACAGCAAATTGTTCCATCAAAGTATTTCTATTATTCTATTGGATGGGATTGGTTGAGATAAGGCAAAAAACTGCCAAGAGGGAAGTGTCTCCCAAGAGAATTTTTATGTAAATGCAATGTAAATGTTAGACATGAAGAAAACCTGGAAAATTTCCAAGTGGAGTTTTCCAATTTTCTTTACACGTAAGACATAAACCCATGACCAATTATCAGTCTCCCATGTTTATCCCTCAGCCACTGGTGCAGCAAATTCCTATCACTAATTATTTGACATATTCAAAAGAATATTTAAAAAGAAAAGACTTAATCGACTGTTTTACATTAAATTTTTATACCTATGTTTCATAAACAAAAATTTTAATGGTTATATGCCTAAGTTAACACATTAACCGCCATCTGACATGCTGGCAGTTGTATTAATTAAGGCTGCACAGAGCCATCCGACGTCGCCATAACTAATGTATTTTCACTCAAGTTTAAATTATCCTGGATTCGAAAGACATTGTTTTACATCCTAGTGGTGGCCTTTCGCACACATCTATAAAGTTGGCTCCGACCGCTGGCTGTTGCATGTCTTCGTGAAGTGGTTTGACGGCCAGTTGTCATATTGCTCTGTACGGCCCTAATTAGTACAACTGCCAGTGAGTTGGATGGCAGTTAACATGTTAAATAAACCACAAAAAACTTCTTATCTGGATTTGAACCAAAATCCATCATAGAAGAACAAAGATTTCTTCCACAACTGAATGTTTGTATTCTATCACTTTCAATAGATACTCTTATGTAACAAGATCATTTTGCAGTTAATATAGTATCAAAATAAAAATAATATAAAGTCTTCCAAAAGGAATGCTACCATTTTAAATTACTGTAATTAAGTTAATTGTGCGAGACATATGTGACACACACCAATTGATAGAATAACTGTACAAAGCTTCAAACAATTTGTTGTCTAATATCTCTAGAAATGCCATAAATGAAAATCGCAACTCCACAACAAAGAAAGTGTTTGTGTTCTACAGTTTATAAAATCAGAATTACTCATCATTATGCAACACAAGTAATCTGCAGGAGCTGTAGAATTGTGGCTGCCATAAGAGAAGTATACTGGATATGACGTAGAAAGTGTAGGAAAAAAATTTGAATATCAATTGGATGTGTGCCGTCTGTTACATTAACAAAGTTTAACAGGCGAACATGAAACTTGGACAGTTTTCCAATGTTTTTATGTACAGTACATTACAACATTCTTTTTGGTAGACCCTGTATAACAACAAGTAAAAGTATGGTATTGAAAGAATATGACCAGAATACTATAAAACTCAATCTGACCTCCAATCTTCGGATATATGTTGTCGAGAATAACTTTCTAGAACTTGAAACATACTGGTATTATCTGGTAACCAACAGACTTCATTTGTTGTTAAATGGTTCAGTCTCATTGCATACATGGACTCCAACGGCCGAGGTCGATCCGATAATCGGCTGGTGACCAAACGAATGATTCCCTGAACCGTAAACATTAAATTAAATTTCAACTTATATCATTAAAGAATAATTCGTATAAAAACATTTAAAAATTATTTACTTTGACATCTGTGGCATCCCCAAATTTTACAATTTTTGAGTTTCCATTGCTTAAAAACACTTTCAGCATGGATTTCTCCATTTTTTCTGGAACTGGACAACCATGATACATATTACTGTTTAGTGTATTTGATAACAGTTTATCCCATGCTTCTGTGACAATGTTATCTGTAGTCCTGCAATATATATAAAATTTATTAATTATATATAAACAAGTAAAAATTTGTAGCCACCTGTATTTAGATACACTTAAATACAAGAATACATATTAATTAATGTGTTACATAATAGTAGACTATAAGTTTTCTCTACATTCTATAATGTTCATTTAATGAATTTCTCAGGATGTATCCCAATTCTTAAGTAACATCTATCTGTATGCGATAAATTCTTAGTTAAAAACTGCTTAGTGGACTGTTTTACATCAAACATAAACAGCACAAACTCTCATGGAAGCAAGTGAAAATGTTTATCAGAATTCCAAAGTATAATCAGAAAACTCCAACTCTGGAAGGTGTAGCTAATAGCATAACTATCTAATACATAATTTATACAGGAGCCACACTAATGGTCTAGAGCAGGGCTTCTTAAACTTTTTTTTATTCACAACCCATTTATGATTGTGACTTTTTTGCGACCCAATAAAAATATAAAATAAAGATATATAGAAATTTGCAAACACAATAATCGCGTACTACCTCAGTTCACTCTTGTGTTACAATGGAACAGAGATAACTGAATACACTGAAAAGCGACAACACTACACTAGTTCACACTACAATCAGTGTTGCTGAATCGTTGTCTCGCCGCACCAGAAGTGACACAAAGCGTAACTCACGAAACCTATGACAAAAAGCGTGCCATTTTCAAACTCTCACAAATTATTTTCAATATTTTGCATTAAAATCTCGCGCCCCAAGATTTCGCTAAGCAACCCCAAATGGGGTAACGACCCATAGTTTAAGAAGACCTGGTCTAGAGCTGCATGCAGTTTGCAAAACACAGCTTGGTCACTGTGAGTCTATACTCACCAGAAACAAAAACATTTGTATGAACTGCAAGTTTTTTGGGCTGCAATTTGAAAAGATTGTAGACCCATAAATTCCCACTGTCATCCGTCCATCCTTCCTTAATCTCAAGAACGGTGTTATATACATAAAAGTCAAGACCAGATATAGAAAGCTCAGGGGCAGGAGGATCCAATTAAATATATACATACTTCTGGTGCAAACTAGAAGTAATGTTATTTCAATTTATAACTTTTCCCCTGAAAGGAGTTAGATAGATGATCAATACGACTCCATTGCTAACTGAAAAGTATGACGTACAGGGGCAAGACACTATAGTACTAATTTGAGGTGGACAGCATATATTTTAAATTAAATATAATGTCACAATAAATAATTGCTCATTTAGTATTAGATTTCTATAAATATAACTAAAATTAAACTGCTTTCTTGAAGATTAAAAGCATTTAATATTGTATGAGCAAGTAATCCTCATTATGAAGAATGCTAAATTATTGAGCATAATGATAACAATCACTTGTTTAAAAGAGCTAGAATACCAATATTAAATACTTTTAAACTCCAATAAAGCAGTTTTATTCTTTAATGTAGATATCTCATTTTAATATTGCTCTCTATAAATCACCGCTGATACACAAAATCTAGGTATTTGTGTATTTGTATCAAAAATTAAAATGCAAAAACTGGTTCATCATTAAACAGAAAACAAACTACTATTAATTCCAGCACAAATTATTTAATAAAATAAAATTCTTGATCTTATTTAAAGGAAATAATCAGGCTAGAAATCTTCAAATGTTTAATATCTACAGATGAAACAGCAGTTAGGGTGCGACTATGCAGACGCGAATTTAGAGCGAGCGAGAGGTTGTGAGCAATTTAGTTTTCACAAAGGAAAACCATGCAGAAACGAGAAGCGAGAAATAATGCTGGCGAGAGCAAATTTCTGATTCTCGCACATATCTGACAGGTTTTGATATTTATCGCATCTCGCCTCTTCTCGCCACATATTCTCGCTCGCTCAGAAAATTCGCTCGCTCGCGTCTGCATAGTCGCACCCTTAATGCCTCCATACTGGAAGTTTGGGTGGATTTCACTGTGGCATCTTGGAACGACTGATCCGTCAACCCTACAGCTTAAAGAATCTCAAATAAACAGAACTGAAAGTCTACTTTTCCTTCAAAGCAGCAATGCGTAAACTGTAAAGATGCATAAAAATTGTTTTATGAGATCCCATAGCCATAAAGCAAATCTAGGTTACAATATTCTCTTATACTTAATGTATTAAATAGTGTACTTTCATTATCAATTGTACGTTAATTTGTCCTTATTTACTGTTAGTTTTTAAAAAAAATAATAATGTAAATTTTACATTTTTAAAACTGTTATTCCAAAATATTAACATTTGTTCAAATTTGCACACTTAGTTTCATCCATAGATTTCTTTGCGCATTTTTACTGTTTGAAGTTATGCAGGCTGATGAGTCTTTGAAAAAGGTCAAAAAACATCAGTTATTAAAGAATTTGTGCTGGATTTTATGGTTGTTTACTTTCCTGTGTTCGTATCATACTTTTTTAATCCACAAAATCACTTGTACATACACACAGTTTAAAAGTCACTCTATAAGAAATAAACGTTAGCATCCAAACTATACACGAACAAAGAAATCTTTCTCCCTCCCTTAAATCCGTGTAAGTTCACTTTTGCCAAAATACAAAAACCAAAGTAGGAATTGAAACCAATAATTGACAAAAGCTTCACCCGTCATCTATATTGAAAGAATACTGCAGAAATTCATTTCATACCACAAACTACCACATCAGTACAGTATTACAGAGCCTTTGGGTCTTATTGTGAGATTACAGAACCTCACACTACTTGATGACTGTCATTATTGTTAAATTATCATTTTCTTACTCTTTCTATACAAAAATTAACAATGTAATCATAAAAATAATAATCTAATACCTTACTACAACTTAAAAATAAATAAATACGGGCGTATGTATAACATTGTACGGTCGTAGATGATTTTTATTCACGTACCAATACTTGTCATTTCAATGATTGATTATTACAGCTCATTCAACAAATAAATGATCCTTACGAGTCTGAAATGCCAAGGCCAACGTCTTTCAATTTTTCATTTGTAAAGTGGAAATTTAGTGAATAGAAGAAATATTTATCTAAATGCACTCTACATTAGATGAAAGACAAAGATAAATTTACTTCTTAGTATTACAACCCACCATTTTGTCTATTTTACCTGTACACACCCAATTTTGGAAAACCCGTCAGTGTGCTCGGCACATTTATATTTAAAGCAGTATTGGCTAATATAATACAAGGTCACAAGACCATCTGCCACTAAAACATTTTAAAATTATCGTGAGTAATCACCTGTTTTGTTTGGAGAATTAAACAACATTTTAACGTCTCATTAACTTATAATTTTTTCTAACGAATTAACAATGACGACGATTAAATTTTTTAATTTAAACTTAATTCTATTTAGAATTTATTTTTTAAATCAAAAATATCGAGTGATATTTCTCGACAGTTTTTTGCCAACATTTTCCTAAAATCAACAATAGATTAAAGTGAAGATATTATGACAGTTATGTAGTAATTTAAAGATAAGAAAATGGCATTTTCTGTTGAAAATTGGTAATTAAAATTTCATTCCGCAATGCAGAAATACTAAAACACTGATTACCTGCAAGATCTAATGTTCTATAATAAATTGCCTCGTTACCCAATGTTTTTTGGCAATTTCACGCCTTTATTTTTAAGACAAACATTATTAAAATTATAAAATAAACTTCAAAAATTGCATATTAAAGTGTCGAAAGCACTAGATAAATATCTAAATATGGAGTAAAGCTTCTTGAATACATTAAATAAGTGCAGTTCAGATTTCTAGTGATTATTTCTGTTTATTATTTTATTTATTTAGTACAATAAGCTTATAATTTATCTTAAATTCTTTCTAAACTCTAAGAAGAATGCACCAAAACTAAATTAGGGGACAGTTATCACTTATCCTAATGGACTTCACTGTAACAAAGAATAAACTAAACAGTAAAGTAAACTATTTAATTTTCTCTTTATCTTAATCATTTCAAAATACCATTAAATGTCTAACGTAACATAATTTACGTTATTTATCTATATAATTAAATAAATACACAGTAAATAACAGCTCGCATCTTATATAACCTAACACGCGCACACATCTCGTTCATTCAATAAAATAAACACACGCTTTAAATCTCGATACATCTTTAATACTTAAATTACAGAAAATACAAAATATACTCTTGGCAAATTTCAATTTATCATCATCGTAAATAGCATTTAGATAAATAAAATTTAAACAATTGATTAGAAAGCGAATTATCTATTCTAAACACAGGATAACGATTATCTAAGGCTATTAAATTGATAAAAATGCTACCAAAGAGCAAAATAACAACTGAGAACGTTTAAGTTCTGAGGCAACAAGTAAGAATTCGTAACACGTTCCGCGTAGTCCCCGGCAGTAATTAATAATAAGCTCCAGTTTAATCGAACCCGGTATCGCTCTTCTGCAATTTCTGCGATCGGAGGCAAACCGTGTTTGGTTCGAAAAGATAATTTTCTACTTAAGTTCCTTATCTTAAGGAGCTGTGGGGGGAATGTGTAGCAGAGAATGTTATTTGTAGGCATCATTTCCTCATTAAAAATCTCTATTTTTAAGGCAGGACGGCATTCAATGTCTTATAAATGATATAATATCCGAGAATTTCTTCCCGTCTTCGCTATAGTTTCAATATACACAGTTTAAACACTGGGAAAGAATTAAAAATTAAGGTTGACTCCTAAGGCAATTCAAACCCACGTGGTCGAACCCACGTGGTCATGTGCTACTACAGTGAGGTACTCATTCAATTGTGCTACTGCGTTAACAATAAAGTAGAAATTACGCGGGCGTTATGAAACGGGCGTGTCTTGACTAAATAATAACAACTCGTTGGAGATTTTTTTTGAATGAGAACGAACGTTTGAAAGCGGATCTCGTTTAAACGGATCGTCCACCTACACAACCCCGGCGTTTAATGAGCCGTATCCGTTTCCATAACGACCCGCTGTTGTCGTTTAAAATATGCAGGTGTTACGACGATTTTATTATTCCGTAACATTTTATAATTAATAGCGGCGAATAGCGTTAAAATAGTTTATATCGTAAAATACGAAAGTGCGTAATGGATACGAAACGCGATCACGTGACGATATTCAAATTCCTCGACTGTCACGTGATATAGCGGATACTGAAATAAAACCGCGAAGTGAATTAATTTACCGGTATTTTTTTTAATGTAATACGGAACGATTCCGATAATAATACGTTATATTAGTACGAAAAATCGCGATATAAAATGTTACTAAAGATAGAAAATGAGCAGACGACAAAAAGACCGCCCGCCATCTTTAAAAGTGAGGTTTGATCGATTATTAATACGAAAATTTCGCGTTTTTTTTGGTAAGTTTAAACGCAGTTTTTATCAATTATTGACGTTTCTTGAAATTGGAGTCGAATTGTTCGTTATTTTATGAACTTTCGTGTAGAGATAAGTGGAAAACTGTCTCCCAATTTACTGGGCATCAACCCACTCTCGAATTAAATGATTTAATAAGATGTGTGCCTCCTATAAAACCAATTTAAGGACAGTCAAAATTCTTTTGGCCTTTAAATCGTTTTTATTCGTTAAACGACGGACTTAACAAGCAATACCAATAGATTTTCATCAGTTTGGCCCCAATAATTTAGCTGTTATCGCGTTAAAATTGAAAAAAAATGGACGTTCGAGCGTTCGAATTATGCAAAAAGTGACGTTCGAGCGTTCGAATTATGCAAAAATTGACGTTCGAGTGTTCGAATTATGCAAAAAGTGACGTTCGAGCGTTCGAATTATGCAAAAAGTGACGTTCGAGTGTTCGAATTATGCAAAAAGTGACGTTCGAGCGTTCGAATTATGCAAAAACTGACGTTCGAGCGTTCGAATTATGCAAAAAGTGACGTTCGAGTGTTCGAATTATGCAAAAATTGACGTTCGAGCGTTCGAATTATGCAAAAACTGACGTTCGAGCGTTCGAATTATGCAAAAAGTGACGTTCGAGCGTTCGAATTATGCAAAAATTGACGTTCGAGGGTTCGAATTATGCAAAAACTGACGTTCGAGCGTTCAAATTGAAAAAAAAATGGACGTTCGAGCGTTCGAATTATGCAAAAAGTGACATTCGAGCGTTCAAATTTGAAAAAAAAAGAAAAAAAATGTCGTCCGAGCGTTAACTTAATTTGTGTGAAAATAGAGACTAGTTTATTTAAATTAAAGTGGTTACTAGCAATTTTCTGTAATTTAAACGAGAATTTTTCGTGTTTAAAGTACTGTATAAAAAAAATTGCAATTAACAGTTGTCCGTTATACAAAACTAAAATTAATTTTCTGCATTAAAAGCAAGCTTTGCAAATTCTTCTTACAATGCTGAATAAGCATTATTATTTTAGAATCGTATAGTATATTTCGAGGATTTAATTGAAATTTCGGTAATTTCGTGAGCTAAAATCTCCACGTTTTTATTTACTAGACGAATATATACATACATCTACACAAAGGAAAATTTATATAAAGCCTCCTAAAGTTTCCAATTTTCCGTAGTTTTGACGTTTTAATTCAAACAAACACCAACTTAAGTATGAAAAAGTGAGAATTTTTCTACTTGTCAGCATTCCTAATACTTCAAACTTTTCAAATTTTAACGATGAGAACAGTTAAAACATTCGGGTCAATTGATCAAAAGCTATTAAAACGGATAAGGATATTGCGTGCAAAGGTCATCGCAGAATATTTCGTAGTTAAATTACGAAAATTCGATTAAAAAAGAAACCATTATAAGTTAATTTTTCACATTATAAAAGTAAATTTTCAACGTTTCAAGCCACACAAACGTTTAGAATAAGCGATGCCGTTACTGGAAATGGGCGAGTTTGCGGCTTTTACGCATGAAACAAACATTTTTGATATGCAGAACGGGAAAAAAATGAATGTTACTAATACATAAATGATGTTAGTAATGTTTCCCTGCGGTTAAATTACATAATAAAAAATCTACTTTGGTATGAAAACTATGAAAAACGGCTAAGTTATCAACGTATACTAGAATTATTCATCAAATTTCTCTGTCTTCCTCGTTTAAAATGGGGGAAAACGTCGCTAAAACGGATCGAAATTTCGGTAGATAAGTGATTTTATCGGATAGAAAAACGTAAGGTTTACTCGAAACTATTATAACAAACCGCAAGAACTTCTATCCAATTGTAAAAATAATCGAACGTAACAAAGGAAACGTCTCGTTCCTACCTGATTGCGTCATAATACCGTGATCCCGGACTTTTCCAATACCAAAAACTTTCAGTGCCATCTCCACTCGAGTATGGACACGTTTCGTAATTGGGAGAGACGGGAGATACTTGAAAATAACAGCATACGTACGTCTGACACAACTTCATGTGGTCCCACTCCGACAACCGTCAGCTGTCAACTGGCTCGGCAGCTTGTCCAACACACTAACAATGCTACCGACCTTCAAACACGCTTTCAAAAACCACCTACGTACCTGAAGAGTGAATTAACCGGGCTAATTATAAATCATAACCGCCGAAAATTTTTTTTTTAAACACGTCTACATACAACGTACTTTCTATTTAACACGAGATCGGCAATGGTTTACTACGCATTGTTAAGGGGGATATATTCTATTTATTAAAATATAACGACCTTTGTTAAGAGAAGACAATAACAAAAGACATTTTAATTAAAAAATACTACCAGCGTTTGGAAGACATGCTGGCATACTTTCTACTTTAAACAGAACAAGGACGAGCCTACAGATATTGTAGGTCCTTGGTTTGTATATTTTACCTGTAGAGCAGGTGGACGCCTTTCAAATAACCAGTCACCCAAGGAAACACCTCATTAGAAACCTTCATTGAAGTCACCTAACACCTGCCTTTTATGTCAATGAACTCTGTGATGGAAGATATAGGAAATAAAGATAAAGACTTTCCACCCCAAACTAGAATTTCCACGATATGACAAGAAAATTAGATTTCGTATAATTCATTACATCTTATCAGATTAACCGCTGTTATGTATTACTTGATAGACCGGAGGATAAGAGCAGATACTATCTATTGTTACGGGATACTTAATTCCAGAAAGTTTTTTTATATATATTCTCCTATTAACTACATTTGCCCCTCGCTTTTTTTCTTTAATATAAATATTCATGATAAATTAATAACAAATATCTTGGATATAATAATAATCGAGGTCTTAGTTCAATTGGAATTGTAAGGCACAGTAATATAATTACTATTTGTAGCATTATCTTTCGATAATTATCCTTGGATATTAAATACAGATATTCTTTCATTAACCAACTACTTATTATTGTTTTAGATTTCATACCTTATCATTACCGAAAGAAAACAATGAAACTTATCTGCAATTTATTTTGGAAAAGTGCATATCATGGAGCTACTTTAATGCTTTTTAATACACTTTGCATTCATTTAAATTTCATTTTAAAAACAACAATGAATCCCCTTCCCGCTTAGTTAAAGTTTTCATCGCAGATTATATAATATAATTTATAAAAGAAAATTTTTTTTAATTATTCAAGTACGAAATTAACCGTAGAAATTCTAATTTATATTTATTTATTTAATCTAAATATTTAAAATGCCAAAATATAAACTCATTGTGAAATTGTTCAAATATTTAACTTAAATTTTTATCATCAAGGTTAAAAAACAAAATTAAACTTAAATTCAACAGCCTTGAGTTTAATGAAATAATGATAATTATGTACTTAATATATTATTATTCTTCTCTACACCTTTCGACATTTATATAATATTCTCGAATTGTTAAAGCTTAAAATTATTTAACGAAATCATTTTATTGATTTATTCCGAAATCTTCATAAAGGTTTTACGAGTGCCTGAATTTTAATAAGATTTTGATTAGTGTATTTTCAAGTATAAAAAAGCTTACTTTTTATAGAAAAACATTTAATTTAGAAGTTATGTAGATGATGATTCAATTATAATATATTAAATATATCAAGATTTAACAATATAAATGAATAAGTAGAAATTAGTAAAGAGAAACAAATCACTCCTGATTACCTAAAAAGAAACTAGATCAAATGAATTTGTTCTTCAATATGTATCAAAGAGTACGTCATACCAGCATTTTACTTTTGGTTTGAACACAATAGTTCTTTCCACAATACCTGATATTATTTTACTAGATGATTAGCTCATTGTCTTACTTTTGTTATTACTCACTGAAGGTTACAAGAAGAAAAATCATTACAAACTGGGTGAAGTTTCTTGTCACATAATAGGAAATCTATACTAATATTATAAAGAGGTAATGTTTGTATGTATGTATGTATGTATGTTAGTTTGTATGCAGCAGGTAATCTCCAAAACTACTCATCCGATTTCAAAAATTCTTTCACCAATATTTAGAATGGAACCTCAGGGTGGACATAGGCTGTATATTATTCCGTTAAACATGGGGATGGACAGTTCTTTACGGTAATCCTTACGGAGAAGGCTTACGGTAAAGAACTCTGCTTCTATTTATACTATTTTAGATGCGGGTTTTTGCGTTTTTGATTGCGTTTTAATAGGGTACGTCAACAGAATGTACACTAAGAAGGGATTTTTCAATATTCCCCCCGCAGGGGAGAGAGACAGGATTAAGGCTTACTGTGAAAAATTGGCTTCTATTATACTATTTTAGATGCAGGTTTTTGTGTTTTTGATTGCGTTTTAATAGAGTATGTCAAGAGAATGTACACAAAGAAGGGATTTTTCAAAAAATTTTCCCTCACGGGGAAGTGTTATACATTTATAATAGATACATTTTGAGCCACAACAAGGCATGGCGGGGTCTGCTAGTATTCAATAAATGGGATGGTCCAAAAATCAATTAACCATTTTACATGAGAGTTTAATTGTTGTATCTATCAACAAAACTAATCCACAGCAGATCCTTCAAGTTCAGTAAACAATTTATAATGTTCTAATGCTCAAATGCATCGTTATGGATTTTCAGTTACTAAATAATTTAATTGTCTTCATCTAAGTAATAATATCAGTTAACTAAGTTTTGGACCATGTTACACTTTATAATAGAAAAGTATTTATGTCTGTTTAAAGTTAATATTTGCAACAAACCGAAACAAACATAAAAATCCATCTTAATTAATTTATAATTTAATAATGCAAATTATCATTATTTCTCTGTCTGCCGTTCCATGAATTTTAAATCATTTTTACAGTATATATGTACAAATTATATTTTGTGTGTTTTGATTTTATTTTTAAAAAATTAAAGTCATTATTGAATGTTTATTAATAACTAATACATGATATTAACTTAGCTTATATAATGACTCCATAAATAAATAATAGATACTTAGATATATACTCATTAAATTAAAGAAGCCTGAATAAGGCAGCTCCATACATTCAGTATTCACTGAATGCCGAGTAAACATTTGGCTAATACCGAGCATTGTGGCCGACCCTTCGTAATTTGTATTCGCCATTTCTCACTCCTTGTCAGTATATTATACCCAATCAAAGGGTACAAATATTCATAATTTCCAAAAGAAACTGATGCTCGGCAAACGTGCATAATTTGACAAATACAAAAGGCTATTCTTTGGCAATTGGTTAATACTAAAGCCATCTTTAGAGAGGTAAACATTTTCAGAAACTTTTTACTCTTAATTTTAATGGATCCAAAGCCAGAATTAACAGTAATTTCTAGATTCTTTAATTTTATGAGTGTCTATCTAAGAATTTTATTGATTACATGGCATTAATAATAAGATAAATCATTTAAAGAATGAAATGCGACAAGTTTAAAACCTTATTTTTAATGCACTCTAAAAGAAAATCCAATTTATTTGCTCTTGAAAACAGAACTGGAAACACTAAGCTAATTATTAAATCCTTAGTTGATTATATCATGTCATTAACTACTTATTTCATCCCTGTTAAAAATAAATGTTATTGCATTCCCTTCCAAGAACTATCATTAAAATGGTTTCACATCATCAGTTCTTTGTCTTGTCTTATTTTCATTTTCAAATATTTATAAAACGATACAAAACAATTTTAATTATACATAAATATAAATAATTCGATGAAGGTCGTAAGTGCCGCAGTGGAAAATAAGCCGTTTTTCAATCAATATCACATAATTTTACATTATTTATCGACGGTTATTTTTAAACTTAAACGAGTTATCCGAGTTACGACGATGAAGACGTTCTCCCCGCGATAAAACTTAATTAACAATTATCATATAGTATTTATTATAATTATATGTTATTAAATTAATTATATTATTTCATTTTTGAATTTTTTCTTTTTTTTTACGAAATACCAAATTTCAAAATATTATGTTTATCATCATACCTGTTTGACAACCGACATGCTAAACATAACTGATATCTGGAATAATGCCAACAGAAAAGAGGAAGTATTACTAAGAAATCTGGAAGGTCTAACATCATTTACAGGTTTTAAAACTCCGCATACTTCCAATATATTCTTTTCTGTTAAGTAATCTTGTTTTTTTGCCAAATATATATATATATATATATTTTTTTTAATTTTAAAATATATAAGCGAGGCGTCGAGTAACTTTCCAATTTGACAATCAGACCATTTCGCTTTTCTGTTTATCGCAGCAGAAATTTTCTAAATGGAGCGAGTATTGTCGGCTCGTATTTTTATTATGAATTAAAGGCAATTTAAATATAGCACACAACCAGGTTAAAATTATAAAAAAATATATCGGGAGTCGGATCGGTGGTAGTAATAAATATTTAACGAAGGGCGAACCGCGTCGTACTCAAAGAATCTTTTATGTTTACCGAGCATAACTGTATTATTGAAATACAGTAAAGTCTATTAACTGGATTTTTATTTGATAGACTTCCTTCGAATGACCCTAATAAAAGGCCATTTATTCAACTTAATTTATTTCCTCTATACGTCTCCTGTTGAATTTTCAAAATTGTCTCCATATAGACGTAATAAGTGGCAATCACTTCATGCACATTACCGTCTTCTATTCTAATTTATTATTGAATTTGTTTGAACGATTGTTCGAAACGAGTCGTAATAATATAATTTCACAATCTCTCTCTCTTCTTTACGGACATTACTCTCGATACTTTCATAAATTAACTTATAATCCGGTGAGGAAATAATAACTTCCCTCTATAATTATAGAAAAACTTGAGTTATCTTTCGGGTAATAACTACACGTTCAGCCACGAACTTCCTTGAGTAAAGTCCTTCAAATACTGGTTTTCGTGTATTATTTTCTGTATTAAATATTTAAAAATCACCCACTACAAAATACAGCATATTTTACAGTGTAGATCAATATATAAATTTTTAAATAATTGTACTGTCTGAAGTATTAATTAATTGTTTTAATTTTAATTACAGGCAGATGGTGAGCTGAAGTCGTTTAAAATCTCTCCGACCCTTCGGTTCAAGTGTCAAAGGTTATGTTTATATTTAAATTGATTTTTTATTCATTCATTAAACAAATATAGATCCTTTTTTCTCTTATGTTACTCACACGCTGTAAAAATAAATAGGTAACTTTAAATTATTTTATCATCTACAATAATCAAGACATGTTCCACACGTACAACTCGCGTAACTATAAGTAAAAGTGATAAATTTATAAATCAAGTTTACCTGGTTAAATAGTCAATTCTTTACACATTTACACACGAATTATTGGTCAGTTTCACGTAATTCTTCCACGAACAACACACGACGACCCATTACAATCCTCTACTCCCATCGTCCATTTCGAATATTTGATAATAGCGACATCTAATAGCCAATAAAGAAACAACTTAGTCGTTATGTTCATTTCGTCTTCCAATAGTTTTATCCGTTACTTGCTTTTAGTGTTTGAAATAGACACGTTTATTAATTTTAAATTCATGCAACACTACAAGCGTGTAATTGTTCCGTGTAAAAAAGACAATTATATATTCTTTAATTACAAATTCGTACAGTAAACGCATTGTGATTAAAAAAGGCTCATCTTCGTAAACAAAATGGATCGAATTATATCATAATGATGCCGTTTGTATTCGAGTACAAAATGGTCTTTCAATAGAGTTAAATGAGGAAAGATTATTTTTAAAGGATACGTCCGGCTTAAAGAGGTAGAGACAAATATTAAAGTTAGGAAAAAAACATATTAAAAGTCTCGGGCGGAGTTGCCAAATCCCGAAGACCCTATAAGCTCTGAAATCATCATTACGGGTACGATTACGGACTGTGTGGCGCCTTCGTTCATTACTACATAATGCTTACTTATATAATAATGCAATATACTAGTATTATGGAGACGAAACCGGTAGGTACATTCGGGCTAGATCGATCAAACGGTTTAGAAGTGTATAGGAAACATGCAGACGTTCTGTTATACAGTACACTAAAATATAAGCACGTGTTAGATCATTTTTATCATAAATATCTGTTTTATATAATATTATTTTGCTCGAAAGTACATAATTTATTAACACTAAGCGTGTTTAATGTGTTATCTGTCTTAAATAACGATAATAATTATCAAAATTTCGATTATGTTTACGTTAAAATGAATTGTTGTGTACGTTATTCAGCTTATTTTACATACTGTAAACTTAATTAAAGAAATATATAAGACCTGGACGAGAAATAGTACCTTAAATATAATTATTTTATTGTTATATCTCTGTCTACATTCAGTATATTAATAAATATCAGCAATTAATTTTCTAGAATTTCACAAGAACCGAACTAATCTGCAATAAATTACAGATCCGTATCTGTAATTTATTGTAATTGGCTCAAGTGAAATAATCAAAGGACGTTTAAGTCTGTCGATTCTAAAATAAGCGAAAAAATTTATGACAGGTGCAACATTGTGACCCGGATAGACTATTTTAATTTTTGTTCTTACTAAAAATAATCTTGAACTTCCTAGAAGGATCACTTTTCTTAAAATGTTCGGTATGTGATAAACAATTTATTATCACCTGTGTTGAAATCTATAACCGAATTAAAAAAAAATGACGTGATAAACTACATTATATATTATTGTATTTATTTATTTAATAAATAAGTAAGTAAATAATTTTTGCTCTTCTATTCAAACATATATTCTCTGAATAACAGATATTTACAAAATGGTGGCATTATTATTATGTATTCCTGGATTTTCTTGTAGAAAAAAATTACTTTATTATTAAATGATTTATTAATTTCTAAAATTAATCACTAATTAGTAAAGCTAATCATTTGGAAAGATAAAATCTCTAAAGTCCTCATTGATAAAATATTACACGTGAGGTCTCAGAATATTTAGACTATGTAACCCTGCCATTATAGGAGGGTCTTATGCATAGATAGGTGAATAATAACGTCTTGGTCATAGAGGAGTACGCAAGAAATTCTACACGGTGGGACAAAGCTTGGAATCAATAAATTTTTATTTAACTTTTGAGGTTTCCCTGCCACAAGTGCTATATATCATAGAATACAGTATTACATCAAAGCAACCCCTATGGTCGAGGGCGTAAGATTACATATCTCAATCACTTTTACGGTTATAATTTGTGTAATTTTTTACTCGATTTCCAGGGAAAACAATGTTGACTGTTTGCGCCTCTCCGCGGAGGCCCATGGCCAGGGCCGTGCGATAGATTTTCTCAGTATGATGGAAATCATGGAAATGCCATGATTTCCATCATTAAATGCTGATTATACCGCCGCCTTTCTGTACGGACCTGCCATGGCCATGTATTATACTCCCCTAAATTTATTTTATACATACCGGCTAAATTTTGTGTTCATGATTTTCATAAAAAGCCTAATGTCTCAATATCTATTTATGATAAGGGCCAGCGAGAAAAATTTTCGTAACATGATATATGACAGGTTTCCGATGGTTATGTTATTNATCTCTAAAGTCCTCATGTACACGTGAGGTCTCAGAATATTTAGACTATGTAACCCTGCCATTATAGGAGGGTCTTATGCATAGATAGGTGAATAATAACGTCTTGGCCATAGAGGAGTACGCAAGAAATTCTACACGGTGGGACAAAGCTTGGAAACAAGTAATTGCATCAATAAATTTTTATTTAACTTTTGAGGTTTCCCTGACACAAGTGCTATACATCATAGAATAAAGTATTACATCAAAGCAACCCCTATGGTCGAGGGCGTAAGATTACATATCTCAATCACTTTTACGGTTATAATTTCTGTAATTTTTTACTCGATTTCCACGGAGGGCAATTGACTGTTTGCGCCTCTCCGCAGAGGCCCATGGCCAGGGCCGTGCGGTAAATTTTCTCAGTATGATGGAAATCATGGAAATGCCATGATTTCCATCATTAAATGCTGATTATACCGCCGCCTTTCTGTACGGACCTGCCATGGCCATGTATTATACTCCCCTAAATTTATTTTATATATACCGGCTAAATTCTGTGTTCATGATTTTCATAAAACGCCTAATGTCTCAATATCTATTTATGATAAGGGCCAGCAAGAAAAATTTTTATAACATGATATATGACAGGTTTCCGATGGTTATGTTATTATATATATTACGCTCAAAGAACGAAAACGCTCATTGAGCGAGTCCACAACGCGAAATTCGCGTGGTATTTGCATTGCGGTGATCAAATTAAGGAGTCAGTTTACCTCTCTGGAACAGCGGAATCGAATCCAAGAGACCGAAAAATCTCAGAAAATTTTCGTGAAAGCATATTTAATACGAGCTAAAATAAGTTTAATGAATTTGTTAGTGGTTATGGGGCACGTTCAAAATGTCACTTTGGCACTGATGTGCTAATACTCCACTTCTGTTGTGGAGTTGGCTATCTTCGTGTATAAGATATTTAAACACACACTTTTTCAACTCTGCTCTATAGGATCCTAGTAAAATTTTTGCCATGCCTACCACGGGACCAGGACCACAATAGAGGCGGTCGGAATGAGGAAAGACGTCCAACATATCCGGAACAAATTACCCGCTGGTTATTATTTAAATTAACAAGACTCGAACCCGGCTTCCTCAAAACGGAAGGCTAACATCTTTACCGTCTCGGGCATTCGGCCAAATGCATACTAGGAATATCAAGATGATGATCCAGGGTAGGTTACTCATGGATGAAAAGGATTGAGCACGCTTCGTTATGGGGAGAAGATTACAATGAGTGCTTTGCTTGATAAAGCCAAATAAGCAGGGCCATTTCAAATGAAACAAACAGCGTGATTAGCTTTCTTTGTCTGTGCAGCAACGGCCCTACCATATAGAGTTTTCGGGTTTTCTTCACGTTTTAAAAGATTCAATGGATCCCAGACACATCTGAATTAGGGAGCCCCATATACAGTGTCGACTTCAAACATTCTTGTTCGAGGAATTTTGGAGGAATCCCCGGTATCTAACGTGACCCAAGTGCCACACCGGCCATCTAGGGTACCCAGACACGGCCCAAATTTAAATTTCGATCTTCTTAGCACAGTAATGAGTTTGTAAAAGATTGGTTTGGCTCTCCCTGTAGCGGGTGCCCCTCTTCGCCCATAGCTAACGAATATATTCTAAAATATTCAGAGTAAATTATACTAAAATTCTAAATTATACGCGACTTTTATTAATTTAACACTCCCAAAACAATTCGACAAATTTAGACCATCACTACGCATAATAATATTCCAGAGATTTATTACCATCGACACGCCATCTGTCCCCTCTTTTCCAAAACTAATAAGTTTACGTCATGCTTAAGATTTAAAAATTCAAACCAAGCGTTTTATTCATTTCAAAAGCATTCGTTGCGTATTTTTACGTAAATGTATTATTTTTATAACTCGACATTTATAACTTATCGCTTAGAAAAGGAACGGCAAAAATATGCGACGTCACGTGCAATAGACAGATAAAACTAGTCAAGATGGTGGCCAAGAGCAGGGGTCAGTTGTTGGCTAGAGTTAATTTTCCAATGTATACTGTGCACATTCTGACAGAAAGGCATTTTCTGGTGGCCGGAGGAGGTGGACAAGCGAAAACTGGCATACCAAACGTTATAGTAAGTTAATATTATGGTAATATTGGTAAAAGTTCAGTATATTTTCCTCATTTCCTGTACCATAATGTCATTTTTTAACACAGATCTTACCATAATTTGAGTTTTGCTCACTTCTGAATTTTCATCTGATTTTATTGATTGTGCTCCTACTGAATTGCTCACTCTAAAGAACAAAATAAAGAATCCTGACATGTAAAAGCCAAATTAATAATTAGAATGTTGACTTTTATCAAGGACTTATCCTAGAGCAGGTTAAGTTGTAGATAAAAGTCTGCATTTCTAATACTGTTCTACAATAAGTCTTGCGCATTCGATAAGTATAAATGTCTTAACTACGGCAGTATGTTTCGATACCTGCCGTCAATTGCCGTATATCGTCGGGCTATGATGATATATTGCAATTGACGGCGGGTATTGAATTTGATAAGCTTGAATATAGATGATTTACGTCTATACCCAAATTTAACTTTTCTCCGTTCCCGTCGTCATCTTACGGGTGTAAATTTGTTCAGGATAGCGAGGTGTGGTTGAGAATTAAATTTTAAATATGGTTTGCTTGTTACGTTGTTCGTAATGCTCGCCAACAATAGACGTGCTTCATCATTAGACGAAATTGGTGATAGAATGATTTCGGCTAGAATAGGGCTCGTGCAACAATGTAAAAATGATGTTTCAAAAAGAATTGACATGGAATTAATAAAGCAATCGATTTCCGTTGAAAGTTAACGTATTGTAAGAAGACTGATCGACGGGAGAGGTTTTCATTTAATAGGCGAAAGATCCTATATGTAGTTCCTAAAGAAGCTTAGAAAAAAGTAGCTCCTGTCTACTCCCAGACAATAGTTTTTTTTTATTTTGAAAAAAAAACACAAATCTCCCTGCCTAAATCCGGACTCAAATTTATAGCTTACGTTACTAATTACAGGAAATTTACGAATTGATCAATAACGGTTCTACTTGTCGCGCCGAATCGGTGACGCATTACGAGACCGGAAGTCAAGCCATAATGAACAGCGTGGTATTTTTCAACGGGAAACATCACGTGCTAGCGGCCGGAATGGAAGGGACCTGTCAGATCTATCAGATGAAATACAAAATCTTGGATGCAGATAAAGATGGTGAGGTTCAAAAACCAAAGGTTAAAGGTGAGCAGTTGTTAATGTGATTAACTGTCCAGTAAGCATGTTGATATTGTAACTTTGTAATCAGTAACACAATAATTGTGCATTTTGATTTGCTTATTATTTCAAATTAGCATTTTGCACTATTTGTTTTATTTCTTTTTTTCCCTCTTGTTTATATAATTTATTTTTTTTTTTAGTACTTGCTAACATTTATGCTTTATAAGTATTATTTTAATTTCTTGTCTTTGTGTTTTGAAATGTTATTTGCGTTTTAAAATTTAAATATAAAATCGATATATAGAGTTAGGTTAATAAAACAAACCAGTTTAACTGGAGATTCTCAAGGCTGACTTGTGTATCTTCACTTCTCTTCAAACAACGTAATAATTTAGAAAAGTGTTTTTAGTGATAAGCGTAACTTTTGCCGAAGGGAACTAATCACACAGGGAACACACCGGTAATTGACTATGCTAAGTTTATTAAACAAGGAAATGTATTATGGGCCTTCTACATTTCCTTGTGTAATAAAGTTGGCATAGTCAATTGCTGGTGTGTTCCTTTTGTGATTAGTTCCTTTCGGCAAAAGTTACGCTTATCGCTAAATAATCCGTCTGGAGAACGAGTAACAATTAAACATTAAAAAATTTTCTTGTGTTTTTGATAAAGGGATGTGCGGATACTGCTGTAACTGTGGTGATACTAAACATTTAATGTTTTATTTTAGTGTTAATTTACTTGCTGTTGATGATAGATAAGTATGTTTTGATTAAACATTTTAATATTAATGTTGTACTTTATGCTAGCTCACATGATATGACTCTTGTCAACATTTTTCACTCGAAACGACGATACACACAGGTTTGCCTCATTTGAATAAACATGCGACTTATTGGCAACCTTGGTTTGATGCTTCAGAAACATGTTTTGGAAGATCTAATCAGCACATCAAACCAGACAGAATTATTGATTTAGATTATGCTCTTTCCACTCAGGAGAGAAACAAATGCTCTTGAACATGCTCTTAAAATGTCTTGCAAGTCATATTCCAACACATATTGTAAACATCACATATCTTATTTTCGGTGAAACAAATTATCGGTAGTAGTCATATCATGTAAACAAGCTCTTAGTAAATTTTAATTATACACAAAAAATTTTTTTTTTACGTATTTTCTTCCTGATATATCTCATTATTAATTGTGATGGCAGCAGGTAGAGGTTCTCGAATCCAGCTGCAGCATTATTCATTTGGAAACTAAGCATTTATTGAAATATTTTCCCTGTTTGTAAAGTACAGCTGTATTAATTTAAACTGTATTTTTATTTAAGAATGTAAATAATATATTATTGCTGCTTAAAATGTGTAACTTTTACATATTAATACTATATTTATTAAATTATACATTTGTTACTTAACTTATTTTACATTATATATTTCTCTCTTTCATATTTATGGAAAAATATGTTACTGAATATGGCAATAACATGCTATTCTGGTTCAGGAATCACATTAAAGCAATATTATATATACTAATTCTCTATTTCCCGTTTGATTTTTGTTCCAAACAGAAGAAGAAACTGAAACTAAAATGCGCGCACTTCGACGGAGGAGGACAAATTCTGTCCATTCCGATAATGAAACCGAGACGGCCGAAAATAAAGAGAAGACTACAGACGATCAAAAGAGCCCGAAATCGGAAAAGAAAAGAAAGAGATCTGACAGCACGTTTGATTTTCTACCGACTAGGATAGGTTTTGACATAAAACCAATTCAGAGCTTTCAGACCGATTTTAACAAAAAAGATGAGCCATTCCAGAAACTAGTCAGATTTAATTCGGAAAAGAAACTGATGGTTACCGCTGGTGCTGATGGCCACATCAGAATTTGGAAAGTACTTATCTTTATAAGTGTTAATGTACAAATTATAAATATCATTAATTAATTGTTAATAATAAATACATCTTTTTTGTTTCAGTATCCAGAATTAACATTAACAAATGAAATTGAAGCTCATAAAGATGAAGTTGATGATATTGATGTAACTTATCTTGGTAATGAGGTAATTATTATTATAATATTTTTAGCCTCTTTAGAAATAAAAATTAAGAAAAAACAAATTAAAATAAAATTTATATTATTTCATATATTCTCAATTAAATAGAACACAATTACACAATTTATAATGCACAGTTTAGCCTAGATTTATCAAGAGATGGTGCCTAACATAAATGTTAGGCTTCATCTCTTGATGTAACTTTTGATACATTATCCAAAGAGAATTTTGGGAGAATGCTTTATTGACAAAGACGAGACAATATAGTATAGTATAAGACAGCTTGATACTCGGATGGCCGAGCGGTCAAGGTGGCAGTCTACCGCTCTGGGGAACCCAGGATTGAATCCAGACGGGTCAAGAAATCCCCAGAAATTTTTCGGGGGTGATCCATTCAGATATGTCGGTCCCCATCTCTCACCACCCGGTCACCCCATTGTGAGTCTGGCCAAACCCATAGTGGGCCTTGTAAAAGAGGCCATCTTAGTGCCCACAGGGCAGAAAGAGTTTAAAAAAAAAGTACAAGACAGCTTTCGTACAGTACTTAAGAGAGATTTTAGCAGTTTTTAAAAGGAATTTACAGAAGATAGAATTCAATTTATGACAGAAGATATAAATATAGAAAAGGATAAATCAATTCATCTAGAGACAAAACAGATTTAACAAGCATGTAAAAAACTGAAGAATAATAGAGCAAGTGGTCCTGGTGGAATACTGGAAGAACTGGTAAAAAAGTAATGGAACAGAAAAAATATTTAGAATGACAACAAAATTATTTGAAAGGTGTCTTAATGGAGAAGACATTCCAAAAGAATGGAAAATTGGCTTTTTTGACATCTATCTATAAAAAAAAGAGATAAACAAAAATGTGAGAACTATCGAGTAATTACAATAACAGCAACATTTAATAGTTTATATGGACGAATAATAAGATGGCGATCTAATTGAAAAAGAATATCAAACAAAAGAAAAAGAAGAGCAGAGTGGATTCGGAACAGGAAGATCATGTAGGGACAATATTTTCTGTATTAAACAGATTATGGAGAAAAGATTAGCAACAGGACAGGAAACTTATTTGTGGTTTATAGACTTAATGAATGCATATGATAATGTCCCAACGTCAAAACTATGGGAGACATTAATTAAAAGAGATAAATATTAATAACACACTTATTAAAGCAGTTAAAGAATTATATAGAGAATCCATAACAAAAATAAAAATTGGAATAAAAATATATCTGAAGGATTTATGGTATCAAAAGGACTAAAATGGATGTTGTATCTCACCAATTTTATTTAAAATCTACATAGAAGGAGTATTGAAAATATGGGGAAAAAAATGTTGTAATATGGGAATAGATATTAACGGTAAACCAATGTTTACATTGCGATTTGCAAATGATCAGATGATTAAGGCAGAGGATAACGATGATCTAGAATACGTGATAAGAAAAATAAAACAGGAATATTTTAAAGGAGGTTTATATATAAACATGAGTAAAACAAAATATTTATGCATAGGAGAGGCTAAAACAGACATGGAACTGGAAGAAGGAGAAAAGATTGAGGGATGTGAACATTACAATTATCTTGGAATACTAATTCATCAAGATGGAAGAGATACATCAGAAATTAATACAAGGTTATCACAAGGTAAGAGAGCAGTTAAAAGATTAAATGGAATACGGTGGAGTGAAGAAATAACTAGATCAAGAAAAAAAGAATATATAATGCTATTGTTAAAAGCATTCTGTTATACAGCGCAGAGACATGGAGAACGACTGCGGAAGAGAAGAGAAAAGTAACAACGATTGAAATGGATGCATTGAGAAGATCATGCAGAATCTCAAAAAGAGAAAGAATAACGAATGAGAGAATCAAAGACCTAATAGGATTGAAGGAGTTGGTTTTGGAAGAAGTAAAGAGGAAACAACTTATTTGATTTGGACATGTGAAAACAATGAGTGATGAGAGACTCCCAAAAATATCAATGGAATACAATCCACAAAAAAAGGATAAAGAGAGGAAGACCCAGACAAACTTGGTATGATGGAGAAAAGTTAGAACGTAGTGAAAAAGGGATTAAAGAGGAATGCTGTATGGATAGAGAAAGTCTGAGAGGGTTACTGGAGATCGGAAGGCAGTATCAGACATCATAAATCGAATATAGATAGATACTCTGGCATTTTCATATGATAAAAATTTTAAGAAAGATTATAGAATTTGTAGTTGTATTCAAAGGTTTATATTTGTTTTAATTTTATTCACAACTGTATTAAGTGGTTTATTCTATAATTTAAAAGTTTTTATGTTCACTGGGTAGGTCTAATGTAAATATAGAGGATATCGTAGATGACAATGCATTCAAATCCTGTTTACTTAATAATTTATCAAACATTTCATATTATTCAACTTCTTCTGAAGCACCACAGTGAAGTACCACACGTATAAACATTTCCTTGACTCTTCCATAATTGTAAATCACGAGAAAAAATGATACAATACTTCAATTAGATATAGACCAAGAGAGCTTACAGTCATAGCCCTTTATTTTAGAACTTCCCCAGTTAACAAAAATTAATGATTTGTGTGATTAGTGTTTACAACAGTATTTCTTAGAATTATTACATATAAAAGTACTTTTTAGTATTTTTAGTTTATTATTAAATAATAACAACATTAATATGATGATAATCACTCCTAGAATAAATTTAAACAATGAAACAGGATTTTGATTAATTTCTAATTACTTTAATTTGCTTTATATTTAATATAATAAGTAAGTAAAATGACATAAAAAAAGCTTGTTTTGAAAATACAATATAATTTGTGTATTGAAAATAATTTAATGTGTGTGTGTTTCAGCTTGTGAGTATTTCAAGAGATGGCCATGGTTACGTATGGGATTTAGAAACTGGGAAAAAACTTCATGACTTAACTTACGAGTTACCCAATAATGATGAAAAATATGTATTTAGAGGTAGCAGGTATGTAAATATAAATAAACATTTTGTTTTTAACTGTAAACATTTTAAAAACTTTACTAATATTCAGATTTGGCATCGTGGAAGGTAAGGTAGGCGACGTCCGTCTGTTCACTATAATCAATCCGGCCATCAGGAAGAAGCAGTCCGGTCCGTGCTATTTATTAAAGTGGAACACAAAAAGTTATAATGTGGAAAAGATGGTGAAAACGGGTATGGATATGTTGTCGGCTATTGCCGTAAGGTAAAGTAAAAAACATACAGTTTACATCCCTATAATACTTTCACTTAAAATTACAGATGTGATATATCTAATGCTTGTATTTCAGCGATGATGGTAGATTCATTGGTGTCGGGACATTGACCGGAAGTGTAAATATATACATAGCATTCAGTTTGCAGGTAATTGAAGGATATTGTTACGATACCATAAAAATTTGAATATTTTACCAGTATTCATACCTTTGCTATATGCGTATCATTACAGAGGATATACCACGCGGAGAAAGCTCATAACATATTTGTGACGGGCCTAGAATTCCTCAAATCCTGCGAAGAAAGCTCTCGGATAACCGGCGGACAAGACACGTCTCTCATCAGCATATCCGTAGACAACCACATTAATATTCATCATATTCCGAAGCAAGGTAAAAATTTAATTTTGTTTAATTATTAATTATTCAAATTATGCCAATTAAATGACATTTTAAAATGTTTTTCAGCCACGATGGGATTATTCGGGATAATTGTCATGTGTATCTCTGTTGTATTATTTGTATATATTCTTATGGACTATCTGAATCTGTGATTTTTGTTTCCACGTGTAAAAATTCTTAATTTTGAAAGTTTTAATCGAATAATCGAAGGTTGATTTCGGGATATTTTTATTTCTGGTTCAAGTTAATTTATGTATTTTAAAGAAAACTGGTAACAAGTATGTATAAATAATATATGCATTTTTTTTAATCTGTCAAAAGGGAATACGCAGTATTTTATATTTTGTTTTTCTTTTTAAAGTTGTTGTTAAGAGAATTATGTAAATAGAGAAGTCGGACATGATCCGCTGTATATTTTAGACATTGTAAAGTCATTAATCTCGAAAGTGACTTAAATGAGAAGTTAGGAATCTTCAAACTTTATAATGAAATAGTAAAGGTTAAAACATGGCTCAGTTTTTATAATAAATTAAAGATATTTGAAGATTTAGAGTAAGTATTTCTTTTTATTAGTAAATTTTCTTTTTTTCTAAACATTTTACACATTTATTTGAAAAAATAATACGTAGAGGACTCAACAAATTTAAATTATGTAAATATGGTACATATGCTTTAATGCAAGGGTTCTAAACTTTTCGAAGCCGTGATCCCCTGTTGGACATGACTTTTGCTTGCAACTGCCTATAACTTTGTTATTTTTTCTATTTGCGTAACCGTCTTTCTGCGTTAGATGCATTAATAGGGGCATAATAGAGGGGGAATGTCTTCCATAAGGGAAACAGCACAGATTTGAGTTCATTTCTGAAAAACAAGTGCATTTCACACTTGTTTTTCAGGTAACTTCTTTTTGTAAATAGAAATTAAACTTATATTAATATGGCTGCTTTTGTTTTATTTTGTAAAACGTCGTGCAACCCACACTTTGGAAACTGCATCTTTAATGATCTATAAAGAATTGAAAATTATAATTCTTATTTCTTTATACTCTATTAAAACAAATTTATTTGTTTGTAAAAGAATAGTCAGAATCAAACGTCAATGCAATTAATTAGTAGAATTGCCATTTGAAGGCTTCTTCCTGTTGTTAATTAAAATTATGTAAAAAGAAAACCTAAATCTTGGCCACTGAGATTGTCATTGTGATTTTGGTTTTGCCTGCAATGGGTTGCCGAATGGCAAGGAACAGGACCCGACGTCTCCGGGACCAACCTTCCGTGAAAAATTTATGAAGTGCTTTGCCCACTTGGATTTGATCCTGGGTATCTATCTTGGTGTGAAAAATCTATTTTAAAATAGTTCACAGTAATGTAGTGAACTGTTAGATAAATAAGAGCAATCAAAATGGTGTACTGTGACATTGTAACTCCTCCCTTGACAATAACAATAAGCGTAATAAACCTTCATCGTGAAATAAATATGGCTAAAAGATTATAAATTGATCGTTGGCTTCAAAAACCATCAATGGCCGAGCGTACAAAACCACCACACACGTCCACGGGGAGATGCACGGCCCGACAGGCCAGCCGAAGATTGTGAATCTAACACTTAAGTAGGATCTCTCGTAGCTTGTCCACGTTGTGTTGTCACATCTCGTCAACTGTCAAAAATATGTATTTCTACAAGTGTACAAGACAAGGGACGTTGACTTTAAAAATGCTAACATGAAATAGACTTCTCAATACCTTAAAGTAAACAGGGAATGCCTAATTAGAATGGACGATAAACATTTCATCAGAATTGAACTTCGAATATAAGATCTCAAGGACTCTCTATCTTGAAAGTCGGTGGACAGATCCAAGAACAAATTAGCAGACCTTTCCCCACTGATGGCTGAGTGGATAAAACCAGTGCCGGCCCGATGCAAGTTTTAGGATGGAGCGAGATCCTATTATGGCGCCCCCTTGGTTGCCCCTAATTTATACCCTTTAATTTTCTTTACCACTGAGGCTCCCCCTAGGACTTAGCGCCTGGAGCGGCTGCTCCGTTCGCCCTATGGTAGGGCCGGCTCTGGATAAAACCACCGAACACCGGTAGTTTTATCCGCTTGGCCACACGATCATAGGTTTGTGCCTCCTCTTGGACACGTGGAGTTTTCAGACTTCTCTTCACATTAGTAACCTATAAACATGGGTCGGTTTCCCATAAAAGATCTGGGATGCAACCCCCCACCTCGTCAGATTGTCCATGTGTCATGTTGCCACATATGAATAAAATCTAATCTACAATGAGAGCAACCAGTAGTGAGGGATATCTGGCTAGAGCCAAATATGAAGATTGAAAAATTAGTAAAGAATTTAATATAGACTACAATAATCAGTCTTTTATCCAACAAAGGAAGATTCGAACCCGAGTCCTCGCAAAATACCAGTAAAGGTCCACCGCTATTTTGTCACTCTGTAGGTAGGAAAGAATGCCATGCTATTCGCTATAATCAACGTTAATTTTAATTAAAAGATGACGTCACATCTTTTGCCAATACCGAAATTGAGAGGTCGCGATAATCGAGACGATGTAAGTATGTTCCCTTTTTAGCCCTTTGTGCGCTAAGATGGACGTTTTTAACCTAATTCGCGTGGGCACGTTAAGTCCATAGGATTTCCCCTTCTGGACCTTCCACGCCCCCCGCATAAGTAACAAGGAAAATAGTCCGACCGTCTCACCAAAGCACCCATTAAAACTCAAAATTCTAATCGGAATTCGAATGCGGATCCGGTAGAACGAATGTCGAAACCTTCATCTTTTCGAACGTTCCTCCGTCTTTCAGCGGCGATTAATTAATTAATTTTTGACACCGGCGAGGGCCCTACGAAGACCACTCGTTCTGTCACGTGACCGCGGAAAACTGAAAAATTTTACGGGCCCCGTTCCGGTCTCGTAATGAACGCGACTCGAAAGGCACCGCTACTGCTCTAAAGACGAAAAAAAAAAAAAAAAACATGGATTCGTCCAGGCTCCACAGTGGGGCCCCGATTTAATGCAAAACATCCTTCACGATCGAATGGAAGAGGTAGAAAATATGATTCAACGAAATTTTCTATATATTTTTTAAAATCTTCGGCATTAAGAGGGCCTTCTTTTTTTAGCGCGCCCTCTACGTGTTCGGCCAGGCTCACAATATGTTTATACATTTGGTTTATGTATTAATAGTATTTTTCAACCCTCTTTTGGATTTGCGACACAATTTACTACCCGAATTTAATTATTAAGATAAAAAAAATCAATATATAAATATGCCATGGAAATTATGCAGCTGATATATAAAATGTTTTGAAAGTAATATTAAAAAGTAAGAATTTCAGATAATAACTTAAAATAATAAAAATGTTACTCAATGATTCTCTATCACATGAGGCAGAGACATTAAAAAAATAACTTGTGCTTAGGACAACAAAACTCAGATAGTAAATTCTAAAATCTTATAGAAATTCTTCTGCATTCAATTGGAACAATGATGCTGGTTAATTTAGTTAACCAAAAATATTATTGTATAAATTTTATGCTGGATATTAGATTCTTTTGTTTCTTACATCTATTAGACTCCTGATTATCCAGATGAGATGAAAGAAATGGTTAAATAAATTACTTTTGCTGAAAGTTAATATAAATTCCTAGAAGAAAAAATAAATTGTTTTAAATAAATAAATTTAATATATTTCATACTTACATAGCTTGGTTTGCTTTATAATAAGAAAGAAGTTGCACAACATCATATTTTCCGCTTGTCAAAAATTGCACACTACTGTTCTAGAAGAAAATTTATTTTTATTAAAATTTAATTTTATATTATAATTTGTTTAATGTCACATTCAAATAATAACCAACCTTTACATTAATCATAGCAACATGTCTAAAATTTCCAGAAAACCCTTCTGACTTGGGAAGATAAATGAAATAATTTTGTTTATTTGAAGAAAAAATAAGAGGATTATTCATTTCAACCCAACCATTCTTGTCACTGTTAACTTGATAATTCTGAATGAAATATTATAAATGTGTGATAAAGAATCAAATATAAAATGCACATTCAATTTAATTTAATGAAAAATTTTGTTTTTATTTAATGTTTTATAAATTATAAATTTGAATTATTATATACTTTTTCACATTTCCATCCTTTATCACCATAGCAGATACTAATAATTGATGAATTTTGAAGTCTCTGCAACCAAACAATTGCTAGCTGATTAGAATCAATCCACTGTACTGAAGTTACATAATAATCTCTGCAAAAAATTAAAATAATTGTTTAATTTTTATGATTAAAATTTTGTTAATGTTAGGATGACCAAATGAAAAATTCATTTGTTTGGAGTAAACTTGGTGATGCCTGTGAGATGTTTTGAATGTTATCCTTAAAGTCTATAATAAATAAATGTTCAAGATTGAAATATTTTCTCACTATGAAAAGCAAGGCAGTAACAAGTGTGGCCAGCTCACAGTATTACCAACTCACTCTTTGCAAATAAAGTTTTTGTTTAATCATATGATGTAAAGTTTTGTTTAATCATCCAGTATATAAAATAATTAATTTAATATACTGGATGATTCATAAATAATAAATATTATCATAGTTCATAAATATTATTCTTAAGATCAACAGACTTCACAAATTAAAGAAATCTGGATCTGTCTCTTTGGATCAATTGAAGTAAATCCTGTGAGTTAGATAGATAACTATTGAAATAGTCACGTGTGTTAGGCCATTTTGGAGACACATCTGTATGAAATGTTAGGCAGACATTTCTCAATAATACATATTGACATTTTCAACAAAGTATACATAGATGTATAGAATAGACTGAGAACTAATGATCTGAAAGTTTTTCTCTGAGTTTGTAGAATCTATGGAGACAAAAATAATTTTTATACAAGATTACCCATAAACCATTACTGATTAGACACATTATCCATACATCGTAATTTATAAATAATGAATTACAAACTACAATGTAGGGATCATTATTTACAGATATAAAAATCCTGTATAAGCTATTTAAAAAATTTTAAATTTAAACGTAAAATACTAACTCTAACTATAAATAAATTTTTTATATCAATATAATAAAAGCTATTGTATAATATAATATAAATTATATTTTATTAAATTATTGATGAAGCTATATACTTGTCAGCATATTCTCGTGGTGGATGAATAGTCTGAGGTACAAATTTACCAGGAGTAAGATCAACAACAAGCAATTTGATGGTTGGAATTTTTCGATTTGGCTGAAATGATAAATTATTATTTTTACTATTATTATTGTTTGGCTAAAATTATTTAAAATAATATTTAACTATTTTGCATTTTATTAACTTATTGAGAAAATAATCTTTAATATATAGATATGTATTAATTAGTTCTTTTTATTTAAAAATAAATTTAATACTTTATCTGAAGATAAAACAATCTTTTTTTTTTGCAGTTAAACCTTAGAAAAATTAATGATGAATAAAGACATTCATATATTTTTTCTTTACAATAATCTTAATGAAAAATTTAAAACAACAGTTAATTACAGAATTATTTTTAAAGTACTCAATCTTATGCTTTAAATTACCTTTGGATATCGTATTTGGACAATTTCTGGATATATATTTACATCTTTATGGGAACCATACCATGAATATGATGTAATATCAACTTCTGTGTCATTAAATGTGGCATAACATAATTTTGTACCCTCCANAACCGTTTTGGACTTTTTCCCCACGCGATCGAATGTTTGCATTTAAAAATTTACAAGACGATAATTGAAGATACCTCTCGAGCTATTTAGGTTATGGCTAAAAAAATCCTCGGGCGATTCGTGCCGATTATTCGTTATTGATTAAACGATGAATAATTTTGCATCGGAAAGAATTATCGTGTGACATGTTTAACGAATGCGATCGGTCGACGGAGTGTAATTACTGTTTGTGTTGCCGGTTAAATTACCCTTTATGACTAATGAGCTCGTAAGAATGCAAATTAAAATCAAAAATTCTGCAAAAGTAGAGCAGACATCGACAAAATATCTTCAATTTCGTCTCGTAAAAGCGTTAGTCCAAAAATTTTATATTTTATTGATTGTTTGCAATCTATTAAACAATATTTTTTTGGTAAATTTTGCTTGTTGGGCTCGGATGCGCGGCCAAAAACAGTAGAAAAGCTCGAAGTAGTTTGCTTTTAAAATATTGTTAAGTAGATTGAAAGATTATTATATAGTTAAATTTTTATATAAGCTGTTTCTTTTGCTTGTCTTCCTGCACTTCACCTCAGGTTGTGATTGCACTGTCTTTCCCAATGCACGTCGGCATCCGTTCTATGCACTGCGTGTACGGCACTATCCGACCTGCATGATATCGTCATGAATCATTACAAGTTTCTGCAACAGATAGGTGACGGTACCTACGGTAGCGTCATTCTGGCGCAGTCTCTGACGAATGGAGAGAAGGTTGCCATTAAAAGGTAATGCCAGTTTCGTTTGCACTAGTGTATGTCGCTATTAATTTGCATATAGTTTTTAATATTCTGTGTTTGGGAATAAAATATGCTTTCAATTTCTAATTAGTCCGAACTTGGAATTGTAAATCTGAGTTATAACGGCCGGTTCTCGCTTACGACGGCTGGCGACATTCTCATTAAGGCCGCCACAAACTAGATAATGTCATTGCTTTTGACGAGACATCAGACACAATTTTTATGGTCACATGGCTGTTTTCTTTCAACGATTGGGCAATGTTGCCACTTGTGATATCACTCCTGCATAGTTCTACAAAACCAATGAACATTTTGTCTACTCCTCTATGAACTATTGCTCGTTAGCTTGTTTTATAAAATGGAACGACAGTTTGCTCCTGTTAGCTGTCTGTTTGGCAAAATTTAATAAATTAATGAAAACAAAATGAGGGACCCGATAGATTTATAAATTTCAATGAAATAATTTATATTCTTACATTATAAAAATCTCAAACAGCTTTGTTTCATAATCCTAGCATAATGAAGACATAGTTGAAACATGACAAAGATCACAGCACAAACATATGCCTTCTTTCTGGCCTATGGCGCATGCTCCTTTCTCACAAACTTTCGAATGCACACGAGTGTTAATCATTGTCACCCAAATAATCCAACTTCTTGGATCCGAGAGACATCATAGTATTCTACTTTCTGTCAAAGGGTATGACGTAAAATGGCATTCTGTTGACGATCGAGCAGTTGATGGTCAACTGGGCGACGGATCAAACGAATTTCATTTGACATCACCTTCGACCAGTTTGCTTTAATATTGCCTAGTTTGCAGTGGCTTTTAGATGTGTCGTTCAGTGGTGTGATGTGCCACTGTATGTGGTGCATTCTGGGAGGCCGGATAACTCGATAGAAACGGACACAATGTTGACATAAATGACACTTTTGCATTTGTCGATACTTAATTTTTCCTCTTGTCGTCATGGTAAAAGTCCAGCTCGACTCAACTTGTAAATGCATTCCGCTTCTGCTACAGTTTGATGTATGCAATTGCTATATCATGGCTTTGCCATTCACCATAACAGATTCTGTCATAGCGAGAACCTGTCTTAACAACACGTGTATTGACATTATGCAATTGAAACTCATATGGCAAGACTGCCAAGCAAGTTCGTAAGCAACATCCTTGAATAATTTGGAGATCAAGTGCCCAACAGAACACTTTTAAGGACTACAAACTTAATTTAATCATTATACAACATATAAATTAAAGTCGGCAATGTTTATTGTTTTCTATATTGTCTGTTTTCGTGCATGGCCTCATTACTTTATATGCTAGATAAACAAATGTATCTTAACACAAGTTAAATGATATGGCACCTTACCAATTTTTGTTTCCGTCAACAGAATGAAGAAGAAGTATTATTCATGGGACGAGTGTATGAACTTAAGAGAAGTAAAGGTATTTGTCCACCATTCATTGTTTCACATTAAACAAATTGTCCTTTAAAATTAACAGAGATTTCTTTTATTTTCAGTCATTGCAAAAATTGAGTCATGCGAATCTAGTCAAATTAAAAGAAGTAATTCGTGAAGACAATACTTTATACTTTGTCTTTGAATATTTAAAGGAAAATCTCTATCAGCTTATCAAAGATAGGTAATACACGAAATGCACCCATAACAAAATGTAAAGAGTCTGTTGCAATTGTTTAATCGTATTAATGCTTACATTGACAGGGATAAGCCGTTTGCAGAGCCAGTCATTAGAAATATACTCTATCAGATACTTCAGGGTTTGGCATTTATGCACAAGCATGGTTTCTTCCATCGAGACATCAAACCCGAAAACGTACTCTGCATGGGTCCGGATCTGGTAAAGATCGCAGATTTCGGTCTCGCAAGGGAGATCCGTTCCCGGCCGCCTTATACGGATTACGTATCCACAAGATGGTAAGGGAAAATTTTGTATTTAAAATGTTTTGGCATTAAAAACTTCAGCACGATTGATGAAGAATTGTTAATTCTAAAGGTATCGAGCTCCCGAAGTTTTGTTGAGGTCGACAAATTATAGTTCTCCTATCGATATCTGGGCAGTCGGTTGCATAATGGCAGAACTGTATACGCTACAGCCGCTTTTTCCGGGAAGGAGCGAGATCGATCAAATATTCAGAATATGTTCCGTTCTTGGAACACCAGATAAGGTAGGTGAGATTTTGTTTTATGTTTTTTTTTAAGGATTATTAGTTTTTTAACTCTTCATACTTTTCTTTAGAGAGATTGGCCAGAAGGATATCAGTTGGCCACGGCCATGAATTTCAGATTTCCCCAGTTTTCGGAAATGCCAATGAGTAACATCATACGGAAAATAAGCAAAGAAGGTCTGATACTGTTGAAGGACATGCTGAGATGGAATCCTGCTCAGAGACCAAACACGATTCAGGTATGCAGAAAGTGCAACGGCACGACCGATTAAAAACGATTCCGACGATTTGTTTATCTTGCAGTCGCTCCGTTATCCGTATTTTCAAGTGGGCCAGAAATTGGGCATTCAGGGAACTCACATCATTTCTCAGCAACAAAAGCAATCTTATCACGACAATCAGCCGAGGCCTCTGGTCGAAAAGGAAAGCAATTTGCAAAACTTTATTACTAAGGTAAGTTAATTTGTAATTTTTGGATCATTTAAGGCCAGTTTATAGCCCGATGACAGTGCTGTTTTGAAGACACTATCCATTGCTGGAATCAACAAGAACGTTGACCGGTTTATAATTGGTGGTTAACGTGAAACATCTGACAAGTGTGTATCTCTAGGTTGATGTTTAGTGGAATGGAAGACAGCAAACATAATAGAACTCTGCTGTTGTAGCACTACACTGTGAACTGATTCTTACAGAATCAGGCTTAGTCTACAGGCTAAAGCAGGAAGGTTAAAGAGCCTTTTTCGTGTCCGCTATGGATTTGTCCTAAACCACAGTTAATGAGGGTTAGACCCATTTGCATGTGATGTGGCAATAACTGACAATGGATATTGCCAATATCCTAGCATCACGCGTAAATTTAAACACCACTCCATGACCGATCCCGCCTCTAAGTGTTATATATATATATGAATATCTGTCCATTTCAGGAAGATAAGCAACCTCTACGAAAACGATGGGGACAACAAGCCTCCATAGAAGACTTTTCCGAAATGGGAAATAAGAACATATTATTAAAGCAAAGTAAACAGACCGAAGACAGGTAATGCATGTATAGTATATGTATGTATGAAGGAAACATTCGTCGTATTAAAATTAAAAATCAAATTTTCAACTGCAGGATTTCCGAAAATCACTATGCAAATAGGGTAGATGGCATACAAGTGGAAATGCCGATGACGAGATCGAGAATGTCTGCCAAACAACATTATTTAACGAAAGCTCGTTACATAGCCGGTCAGAATACGCGTAACGTCAATTATCAGGATACGAAGAAGGAAGATTTCAGTCTCGTTGGTAAAAGTATAGGTTAGTTTACTTTTGAGTTAAGAAAAAAAGAAATTATCCTTTGGTATATTATCGGAAATAATAGCAAACAAATACTTAGCAAAGTATTGCAGATAAAATATGCTGTTTGTAGTGTATTATGGGTATTATTACACATTCCTTTGTGACTTATTTTCTAATTTGCATAAGTTGCGTGCTCACTTAATAGTAAAAAACATTGCCAGTCTGCCACTTTGGATAGTTTCGGAAGCACCGTATACAATGTGATTGCGTATAAATGCTGTTGCATTCGACACTTTGATAATACGCCAAAGGATAATTGAAATAACACTGTTATGTCATAATCCATTTATACTTTAAAGGAAATTATGGCGGTTACATTCCGTCAATGTACGACAAACACAACCAGAGAAACCAGAATGCAGGAAACTTCGAAGGAGGACTGAATCAGAGACTTTCGGCCAGTCTACAGGGACGTGGTGGAAATCCCGGTTTCACTTTCCCTGGGAAAACTGACTGGGCTGCCAAGTGCGTATTCTAAACTCTTTTTATACATTTGGAAAAGTTTCAGAGAAAACTGAACCAAATTTTTATTTTAGGTACCTGAAATAATCCAAAATATCTTCGGGAATTTTAAAAAAGAAAGAAAGAAAACAAAACTCAAATTTTTAGATTTATAAAAACAACACTGAAAGGAAAGTTATTTTAACAAGAAACAAAGAAAAAAAATATAAAAAATTTTCATTCTGTCCATTGATTAAAAAAATACTCGTGCAACAATTTCAAAATCCATTCGAGAAAGCAAAGAAAAAAAAAAGACATTTTGTATTGAGACAGATATTTTCTAATTGGAAAGGTGCTAAAATAAATACCCGTGCCGTCCCTTTAAAAGGACTCACCCAAACGAACTAAAGGATGTGGATTTGTACACTGTGAGAAGTACATTTTGGACACTTGCAACATGACGACTGCAGTGCCTTATCACTTTACGTAGGACATAGTATTTATTTTTTGCAAGAGCCAGGACGGAAGACTGGAAGAGAGTTCGCACGCTTGTCGTATTTATGATATTTTTCCGCACCCGTCCATTTTTATTTACCGTCTAGGGTCATGCACAATTTTGTTTTACAGTTTATTTTAAATGTTTCTTTTTTTCCAGATCTGTTTAAAGTTATTGTTTACTGTGTTATATATATACACCATTTAATAATATAGAAGTTTATCGAATTGGAATTTAATATTCTGTTAAGGAAGATCTGATTTGTTTTATGACAAGGAATGAATTATTAAATATGTATTTTGAATGTTTTCATATAAATAAAACATGTAAATATTTAATGACTTCTATGTGGGTTATCTTTTAATTGGAGTTAAATATGTAATTTACACTTAGAACGTGACGATCTACTGTGACCGATTGTCGTAGATTGTCGATCAAATTCCTTGCATTTATAATTACAAATACTTTTGCTTAACGCTTTGCAGCTTGTTTAAATAAATGCTGTGTTTGTACACTGCAGCTAACAGGCCATTTTCGTTTCTGACATTGTCCTGGGCTCCGTACTGGAGTTCCTCGCCTCCCAACGTCGTCATTCTTCCGCCAATTGCATTCAGAAGGGCATTTCCGGCACACACGTCCCACTTCTTGATCAAGGTAATATGAATGTAAGCAGTTGCATTGCCTTGTATTACTTGTAGGGTTTTATAACCTGCAAATTCCATTTTTGAATACTAATTATAATAATTAGTCTCATAAAACGTACGTATTACCTGCTCCTCCGGCGGAAATTACTTCAGTTCCTTCGCCAAATGCCTGAACAGCCACATCCTTTACTTTCCCGGCATGTGACTGGGACACTATTATGACTGGTTTGTCCCTTTCTTGTTTTGATGCCACATACAAATTAGGGGAGATGCTGTGTCCTACCCAAGCCCAAACTGTAATTAAAAAGATAAGTTTTTAAAATATACAGTTGGGTATAAAAATTTAAATGATTTATGCAAATTTCTATACATTTAAACTTGCTAAGGGTCTGCTTGGAAATGCTTACCAGTTTGACTGCCAAGACAGAGTGTAGTTCAAAAACATTACCCGTAAAGATTCCAATAATTTACTGATCACTAAAAGACTCTCCGATCTTCGAGGATGATTAGTGAGTGACCAACATCGTCTGCTGCCACCAACCAATCAGTGAGCATTTCCAAACAGACCATAAGAAGATACCTGGACTTAAAAAAATAAGAGCAGAAATGAAGAATACAAATAAAACTTTGTCATAAATTAAGATCAGAAATCAAATTTTCTGGTCATCCCCTCCAACAAAACTCGCAGGTACAGAAACACAGAGACATTGCAAAAGAACAGATTAACTTCGCTCACTCGAGATTTGTCTGAATATTGTGGCACATAGTAGTAGTCAACTTTCTGTACAGGTACGCACTAAATTTTAAAGCTAAAAACAATGGCTTCTTTTACAAAGACAGCTATGAGAATTTTTGCTTTACTCTAATGTATATCAGGTTGTACAATCCATGCAATTATTATGGAGTGAGACAAACAGAAAACTGTCCAAATGCCACGGACTAAAATATTGAATATCACTATGAATTGAAGATTCTCAAACTTTGATCATTACAAGAAACAAAAATTAAAAATGATCTCAATAGGCAATTCATTCAAGTGGGAGCTGGCATATGACCAAATCACTATAACAAAACTGTATAGTGTATTGCTGATTGCACAGGAAGAGGCAAGATTCTAAAGCACCTTGACCTAAATGATCCATTGTTCAGTGCACGAAAGATTCTTTAAAACAGATCAAACTTTTATATAACAATAACAAAGGATACACTACTCACAAACCTTTTAAACTGCAGCCAAATTTATTATCAATTTATAACAATAACAAAGATGTCGCCTATCAGTAAAAGAAACTATTTGTTTTAGTTATGATATTAAACTTAGGAAGCCTCTTTGTGTCCATAGCCCACACAAATATCCTCGTTAGCACTCCATTCATTCATATTTATAATTTTATATAATATTGTTTACAAAAATGTAACTTAAAATTTTTCCTATTTCAATTTATAAAAGTAAATTATATAAAAGTCAGAATTAAAATTTGCTATTTATACATTAAATTAACTTAATTTACCCTTTCTATAAAAAGACGGATTTAGATGAACGAGTTTGCTGGTACGGTCGAGTTGTTAATGAGATATTTCAAAGTCGTCTAAATTAAATATTGATAAGGAGAGAGATAATTCGGTATTTCCTAAATTGGATTTATATGAGCACTGAGCACCGTCGACTGAAATTTTATATAAATTAAACAATGTACTTATATTAATTGGTAGCTATGTTACAGAATATAGATTATATAGACTTTGGACATCAAATATGAAATTTTAGATTATATATCAGCTTTAATAATGAATGTTTCTTCAAGCTGGCACAATCAAACTTATAAAACTTATTATATACCTTAAATTAATAATTGAGTAAATAAATTTTCAATTATATGATGTATTTTATACAGTTTTAATAAAATTAGATTGATATTGCGAACAGTATTGGTGCAGACTGATCTTAAAGCATTGATAGTATGTGTTAACTGAGAATAAAATTTTTATTATGAACTATAATGGCATAAATTATGCAACCAAATGGGCTCATTGTCTAATAATGCAGCTTTAACACAGCTGATAAGATTAGTCTTTAGGGGTTGTTTATATGTATCACACTAAGGATAGAGGCAGGTATGAGAACTGTTTTGAGGAGGAGACATTCCAATTTATGTTTGCAGTGGACAAACATTTTCACTCCTTTTTCAACTAAAGTATTTAATCTAATATTTTGTTAACTCATATTTGTTGTAATAGGAAACACAACATAAGCTTCACTTGTAACCAATATACAAGACCTCGAATGGAACTGCAGTACCCGACAAATGCAAATACACACCATTGTTTTTGTGAGAGTTTGTTACTGTGTTGAACAGCTAGTTTTAATATTGTGCCATACAAAACCTTTTCACTATGTAAAGACTCTTTTGAACAACCAAAAATGTCGATGGAATACGATAATACGCAACCAAGGAAGTGCAACGGTGTTCAAACAGGTGCATTAGACAAAGAACTCGATATTCTGATTAAGAATTTAGTAGCCAAATAGTTAAATGCATGCTGACATCTTCACACAACTCTTAACTAATGTCATAGTTCTTATAACCATATACAATACATATAGAGTGATGAGCAATTTATATGTAAATTAATTGGTCTGGAAGTGAAGATCAGACAGAGGTTTGGGTAGTGCAATTGGCAATCCATCTCCATGGTAAGTGGGAGTTGTGGTTTGGGTCCTGTTACAAGTCAATCTTTACTTCCAGAATAATCTACTTAATCTGTCTACCTCAAGCCAAATTACTCTGTAATGAGCAATTATTTATTACGATGCAGGGATGCAATTTTTTAGATCTCAATGCACAATGCTATTGTTTATAGTAGTGTCTACCCCTGTACATCATGCTTTTCCTATTAACAAGACTGTCATGCTAATCATCTAACTGACTGTTCTGAAGAATTTTTAAACTACATTTGTAACACATTAGCATGCTATAGAACGCTGACCTTAGGCATATGCAATATTGTTTTAAAATGTTAAAATGTTACTGTAAATAAATCAGCCTAGAGAAATTATCTCTATGCTTTATTTTCCAACACTAAGCTGTCTTTTGTTTGGTGGTTTGAAAATAATCATACAAACTAGTTATAAATACTGTACTCATTTGTATTTATACACATTCATTATTATTATTAAAAATGAGTCATTTTTATTTTTAAACAAGACAATTGAAATATTGTCATTGTCTATTTGTATTGAGTTATAGTTTAAGCTAATATTTCTTTGTCGGTTTCCAGTTACTGTACTTCGATTTCAAAATGTATTGACAATGTAGAAGTAAAAGGAAACATAATAATAAAAGATTTGTTTAAAAACTGTAAAATATTAATTAAAAATAGATAGAATGGCACAAGTAATTATGTAAATTTATTGTTATTTTTATTCATTTATATGTTAAGTAATTATATATATTTTTTGGTCTCTTTCTGTTCTATGGGCACTAAGAAGTCCTTTTAAATCATCCCATCATGGTTCAACCAAGCCCATGAGTGAGGAGAGGGCCTAAATTATCTGGGGCAGACCACCTGTGAGAACATTCCTAGAGTTTTAAGACTGACTATCAGACTATCATCACTAAACTATCAGATGACGATAATTTTTACTTTTCAGTGTAGGGCCTAAAGTCACTTGGAGCAAGATCCAGCAAGTAGAGTGGTTGAGCAACGACAAGAAGTGTTTAAATGGCAACAAATTGCTGCATGATAAGCTATGAGTGACTAGGTACATTATTATGATGCAGAAACTGCCCTCCTGCCACATCTTTTCTCCAAACTGCATCTCACGACCTATGCAAAACTTTCATCTAGAAATGACCAGTACCCTGTCCATCATGGAAAACATC